ATCCCAGCCCTTAGTCCACCCCAACACCATGGATTTCGCCCTAGAGATGAATCTCTGTAGCCTCGGACTCTCGTCCGTAGCCTCAAAGTAATCCATTGCACTGATCGGGGACACATAAGTGTCCCCTTCTCTCGCTATTCCAAGATTCCTTGGAACCACGTACCCTTCATAATCCCGGCAGGGACTATTGACACCGACTGATCCCGAGCTCCTAAAACATCCGCTCGAGACCAGCACTCAACGCGAACTGTCCTGAAGTCTACCAGGGCCTTCTCCCCCTAGTCTGAGCATCTCAGCGACTGTGGGTCATCCGTTACCCCACAGCCACCAATCAACTCGACGGGATCCCGGGGGCACTAGTCCTTTCACCTAGCCGTTGGTCCCTGGTCTAAGTCGACGGCGCCCTTCGGAACCACCCAGTTGGAACGCCTGTACGTCGGCCCTGAACTCCCTAACACAGCTGGGTGGATTTCCGAATTGGGAAACAGCTATCGTCAACGCCATCACAGTGTTCCGAAACATGGTCTCACCCTACCACGTTTCTTCCCACTGTGTGATTGGTCTCATTTACCTTCGTAGCGGCCTGATTGGCCGTCGTCCGATGGTCTATTCATCTTTCGCTCGGCTATTTCAGCCGGCGTTAGATGTCGTTCATTTCACCGAGTTATTTTTCTCGTGATTTTCCCTAGTATCGAGAAAATCTCGTTACAGCGTTTAATTCTGCATTTTTTTCTTAATTCAAAGAAAAATAATGGCGTAAATTAAAAAATTTTAAAATTCCGACAATCTAGAAAAAATTTACGGTGTTTCTTTTGCATTCATCTTCCCTAAACCTTCTATTCCCTATTTGAGTTGCCAACTTCTATAAACAATCCAGATTCCTATGGAGTAAGGAAATTTCATATTAGATCAAGAATTACAAAATCAAAAGTATAGGTTGACCCATTCACTAGACAATACTACTAGATTTTTACCAGAGTTCTGTTGCAAATCTATGGTAAATCTATTTTGAATTGTATTATTGTGTCGCCGATCATTGATGAAACGTCCATAGATTTCTGTGGAAGTTTCCTAGCAAAAAAAATCCATCAAATATCAACCTTTTTAGATTTGTCATATAGAAAGCCCTGAAAATGAATGCTTTTCTTTCCATTTTTTTTTATATTTCGTTCTAGAATTCAATGCAAAAAATGTTGAAATTGTTGACAAGGAGATTTCTATAAAAATAGAGAAATCTATTAATGGTTTTCAAAAATTAATTTTTGGGGAATTTTTACATAAACACATTGAAATAGTATCGAAATTCAATAATCTTTATTCCCTTTGATGATCGATGAAGGAAGATTCAACGTTACGTCAGCGTTGCCAACCCATGGAGTTCGATCCATGGTACGGAGAGGGGAAAATTATGGTATTTTGGGGGAAATCATGGTATCCACCGATAAAGTAGGTGTCCCGAAAATTCAAATAATTTTATTCTTATACCAGAAACCGTAGAATCACTGCTTATACATGAAACTTTTAAATAACAGCAACACCAATATACTTTTATTTAGATGTTTTCAAAAATCACATCATCTTCATTTTCTCCTTCTCCATTGCCATGATTTGCAATTGCGATTTCCTTTGGCTTTTAGTAGAGCGAGTCTTTAGTCATTCTTGACACCATTTCTTTGAGTGGTTTACAGACAAAGCAGCCTCCATTAGCTGCAATATGCTGGCTGGTCAATAAACTATCTCTAACAGTAGGCACGATGAGACGATTTCTCAGTTTAGTCTTGATGAGATTTACTTTAGAAAACACTCTTTCGCTATCAGCGTTTGAATGAGGAAGTGATAGTATATTTAAAACACATCGAGCTAAATTCTTGAATAAGCAGACCTTTCCCTCGTTCTCCAGCACCAACAATGCCGCCCAGAAGAGGTCTGGGTCTGTCTCCAATTCCTTTATCTCGTTACTGAAATTATAGTAGCACAGTTTACGCCACTCGTCATCGACGAGTATTTTCTCGTATTTTCTCTCGTGCAGTGTGTGATAGAGCGTACTGGGGCTTCAGACTTTTCAGATTCTCTAAAAATGCATTTTTTAACTCATGTCTTTTCCGTATCTCAATACAGGCATGAATCAAAAACCCTTGACATTTCTCACGGAAATGAAGTAGATCTGGTCGCTCCAGAACTACTTTGCTCTGTTGTGCTTGTCTCACCTGTACCCCCAAGTACATTTCTGGCAGTGGGAGATATTGGGTCATATCCTCTGGGTCTACCTCGGACAATAACCGAGACTTCACACAGTTTCTCTTCATGAAACTATAAAGAAAACTTTCATACAAGTCAACCATAGCTTCATGAAGATCTGTTATAACAACTTTGGCAGACTGGAAATATCTGTTCACTTGAGTGAACTGAGGAAGAGCCCATTGCAGGAAGAAGAAAAACATCTTATTAAATGGATCGTTCAAGCCTACATGGATGCATTCAGCAGCTTTTAGCTCCAGTGTCATCCACTGGTCATTGAAGTACAGGAGCAGAGCAGGCCATTGTTCGATGATTCTGTCGATTACTGATGCCAATGACAGCCACTGTGTCTGGGATGGATGGAAGAGTTTATGAACTTCGACGTTTGTGAACGTTTGAAACTCTACATATTCACTTTGACGTTTGGAGCTGCTACTGAAAAAATTGTGAATATTTCGAGCGAAGTCTTCGCAAGTACGAGGTAACTGCTGGCACGCTTCACTGGCGCATATATGTAAAGAGTGGCAGATACACTTCATAATAGTAATGTGTGGGAAATCCCGCTTCAAACGACTGGCTACGGAGATATGCACGCCCATCATGACACTACAACCGTCAGATCCGAATCCGATGACGTTTTTCAGCGCGATCCCTCGGTCTTTGAAGCTTGCAATGATATTGTTGTACAAATGTTCAGCTGTTGCACTCGTCACCTTCCCAGGTGGCAGTACTTGAACTAGGTCCCAAAACTTGGAGACAATTTGACCTTGCTCTGCATCAAAATATCTCACCAACAGACAACTTGTTTTGGTTGATTAAATATCCGTTGATTCGTTTGTCAGGATACTAAATTTAGTCTTCTTCAACTTTTCTACCAGTATACATTTTTCAGTCTCACCAATTACATTTTTGACTATGGCAGTTCCTTTTGTACGTTTGATGGTCATTTTTTGGCCAATTTTCGAATCTGGAAAGCACGATTTCAGCGGATCCGACAAGTGGTCCAGTACTTTGTAAGCGATGTTGTGCTCGGCACAGAATCCAGCGATTTTTATTTCTGCAATTTTCGCAGCAGTGTCCAGTGAGTCTTCAGTACAATCTCCTCGTCGAACGAACTGCGTCATTTTTAAACTGGTTTTCCTTAATGGTTTTTCTTTTCCTTGATGTTTATCGGTTTTACCGTGACTCTTCAATACAGATATGTCAGCACTGTAGTCGTGGCAACACAATTTACATCTGGCTTTGACAGGATTACCAGGTACACGCTGCAACCAATCATCTCGGAATTGCTGGACGATTCTTCCTTTGCTATTTTTATCTACTTAAGGTTTTTTTCTCGGTGGAGTTCGACAAGTGTCGTCTTCGTCTTCCATAGTCCCTGGAGGGATTTTTTTCGATGAGCTATCAAAATTCTTACCTTATGTTTAAATACGTGAATGCAGAGTGATTGCATTCATCTACAATTACCTGGATAATTTTCTGCAAAGCCACCGCAAACCATATCAATAAAACATGTCAAATTATATTTTCAATTCCTGAAATAAGTTTTCGTGAAAAAAGTTCAAAGAGAGCGCCGTCACCTATTCAAGGGTTCTTGCGGGGCATAATGCAGGGTATGCGGCTAGCGAATCTTGAGCCCAATGGCTGATAAACGAAGGAAAACGAGCAATCATGAAGAACAGAGACCTCCGTTTCCGTGATTAATCAGTATGTGGGTAGTTTTTTTGTTGTTATTTTAAAAATATTGAAATATTCCACTATTGTTTTATGGATATATTATTTATTTGCATCCGAACAATGTCTAGATGCAGGTTGAGACTGTTACCGTATCATTGAGTAACTTTAGTAGAATAAGAAAATATCTTTTCTACACACTATGAAAAATGGCATTGTACGCGTAAAACCTCACTTCCCACACATTCTAGTGAAAAATCCTCTTCGATGCTCGCGGGAAAGTGTTTTTTAGACTTGTGGGATTATATCGCTCACCTTTGGCTCGTGCTATAAACCTCCCATGAGTCCAAAAACACTTTTCCGCAATCGTATCGAAAAATACTATAATAACGTCATGAAAAAAAAATCAGTTCCAAATAAATCCCGCTCTCCATTGCTGCAAAAGAAATGTATACCATGATACCATGATCGCCATCATGGTATATGGTATCGGGCCTAGTTTCATGGTATAGATACACTGATCTCTATACATGACTGGATAGGGCATAGGCCAAAAAAGTTGAGGCGGAGTGGAGCTACGCCAGTGCTGTCTGGTTGTGGGCCGCGGAACTAAATGCAACTACTGTGCACATGCGTGAGTTTGAAATGAGTAGTGGGGATGGTCATTTGACCATCGAAGCAATGGAAATATTCTCGGTATCATTTTGTATCCACAATTCAAAGAAAATAGATTAAATTTAATGCAAAAACCTTGCTTATACGACAAAAACATTGAAGCAAGCAAGGAGGCTCATAAGAACATTGAAAAACTATGTGTGCACATTCAAAGAATACAAAAAATAACTTTTTTAATACTTTTAAAATGGGTACAAGGTATAAGACTTTTCGCTTGTCCTTGGATCTAATGGAAATAGGTCAATAATTGAATTGATAAGGAGCATTGCTCTTATGTCGATTTTTATTTTATATGAAACAACCGTAGAATTCACTCAGCAAAGGGTAAAAAAATATATATGTACAATTTAAGAAGACAATTAAATTAATTGAGAACTCGCGCCATGATGAGGTTTTTTCCTTGAGGATGATCCCACCAACTCTGAAAGAAATATAGCATTTTTATTTATATACTTGTTAGCGTAGAAAATAAGATTGGTAGATTAATCGTCTAATAGTCTCTTACCTTCTTTGTTCCCTCAAAATTTCCTCAAATTAGTTCTGCATAGAAACTGTATCGTCATAAATAATATTTTGGAAATTGTTCTCAAGTACTTCACGCAAAGCTAAAATAAACACAAATTCTTTTCATTAGAAAAGTTCTTCATTTCTATTCTAACCATCCACCGATGACTGTGATGAGAAAATGCAATGCGTGCGTACCAATGCCAGAAAAAACAGGAAGGAATAAGAAATTATAAATAAAAAATGAAGAATGAAAAAAATCTCTTGAACAGATTTAATGGAAAAAGCAACAAATGAAAATTATATGAGAAAATAGTCAATAGATAATAGAAAATATTAATCATCTCACATGTGTATAACAAAAAATATAGTCATCTCACAAATCGAAGGCCTAATAACAGAGTAGCCGACTCATTTTCAAAAAAAAAAACCCTGAATTGAGAATGAACGGCAGAGCAAAAATCGGCATAATGTCAATAGTACATTAACGATTAATAGATTATTTAAATAGAGTAATCGTTAATAGACGTCATGGAAGTTGATGATTATTGTATTAATCATTAATCACAATAATGAGATTAACGATTATTTGAATATTTTGTCATTTTAATAATTCTGTTTGTGATTATTCAATCAATCGGTAATTGTCCTCGAAAAACTATCGATTATTCAATTAATTATTCATCACAAATATTTAGTTATTGATTATTTAATTATTTTATAATAAAATAATCTTCGTTTTACTGATTAAGCAATTAATGCGTAATTTTGGCGTTGAAGATTGATGATTTTTTTGGTGGCTAATGGCATCATCTACTAAAAAAAATGATCAATCTTTCTTCGTGAAATTAGTGATTAATTGGTTAATCACTAAGCAATATCATTTTATTATTGAATAACCAAATTGTCAATAATAAAATGTTTGTGATTACTAATTACTTGAATAATCGATGATCGATGCTAAAAATATTACTGCTTCAATGATTAATGCGCTACGCTTATTCTCAAACACTTTTCACAGTTTAGCACTTACACTTCTCTGTTATTAGGCAATCGATATGTATAACAGAAAATATCCAAGACCTTAATGTGTGTAACAGTAAAATATCAATCATCTTACATGTGTAATTTCAAATTCAAATTCAAATTATAGAACTAATATTTGCAGAAAAACCTCAAATCAATTTAACATGCCGTGTAAAAAATCAACCAAACAACTGTATCAGTCAAATCAAATATTCAAATTTAAATTCAGTTCTAAAAATTACCAAGCAACTCTTTGAAGTAAAAGAAAAACTCTAAAAACTAAATCACAAGTTTTAACAAATAAACAGACGAGACGCGTATAAATTACTAGTGGCGATTATCGATGAAATAGATCAAGATCAGAATAATATTTCTCTTGACTATCGCTTCTTTGGAAAAATTAATATATTGTTAAAACTAACAAGTGTCAAAGCTGGCTCGTACTATTGCCTTGTCCCATGACTTCAATAGTCTGTCTTCAATTAATAAATTTCTAATAAGAACTAACGTACAATAATAAATATTCTAATATCACAAGATATTGATAGTATCACATTATGCACTATTGATGTGCCCAAACTATTTGACGAGTTAAGAAATGTCTTATATTAGTTCCTGTGATAGAAATGGTAGCGTTTTTTGTGAACGCATACATACGAATTTCAATATAACTCTTAACGATGTTTTTCAAAAGCACATCTTTATGACTAGTACAATTATCGAGAGAAAACGTCTCTTGAAAATGTTGTTCAAGGTCCGGAAAACATGAGATTTTCGATAAAAGAATTTCTTGAATACTTTTATGAGCTAGAACTGCTGGGAAATTCTTTTCCACCGGTGGTTTCCCCATATTCATGTTACAAGCTTTGCTAAATAATTTATCTACGTTAATGCAAATATTAATAATGCTGCTTGAAGCCATTATTAAACCCCCACGATTTTTGGTTATCACAAAAGCATTATCTAGAAGTGTTTCAGGAGAGAATGTCTTGCAACTGGTAAGGCAATCATCACACTTGAAAACCTTTGGTAGCTTTTTTATAATAAATCCAGCTACGTACGAAATGGCTTGTCTTGAGAATTCATTAATTTCAGTAGGAAATGCCCAAGCAAAATTCAAATAGTCTTCAAAATCTTCGGGGTTCCCTGCAACAACTGTGCATGTTTTTCCATCTAAACCATATTTTTTCTCTACTCTTGAATTTTCTACTGTGCTGAAGACATTAATATCATACCGGTCAACTGTCGCTATTTTGTGTTGAGAACCAGAAGAAACATTGAGAATTTTTGTATTATCCATTACTTGAGCATTTCCGCTACTTACTTTTACATCGTGACGTACTAATAATCGCTTGTAAGCTGATATAAATTGAGAGGCTGTAGGGTTAGGACACCACCCACTGCGGTTTCTAATAGCGGCGAAGAAAAGTTCCAAATGATCTTGACTTAGTTTATAAGTTAATAGATATTTCAAAGAAGCTTCGGATGATTTGACGTGAGAATCAAAAATTGAAATGCACGATAGAACGGTGGTATAAAATTCTAAGAATCCAGTTTTTCTGGGACATAAAGAAATAGGTTGATTATTCAACAGTTTCAACTGACTCAAATAGTTGATAGATTCTAATATTTTTGGACGCCAAAATTGTTCATTGGTTGTTTTCAATGGGCTCTTATACCCGGTGCCCCATGGATTTCTTACATTCAAAAAATCAAAAATGTAATCAATGTGACGAATGAATTCAACCGTTGCTTCAGATCCTTCAAATTTACTTTTTAAACAATCTACTTTAGAACAAAACTCTATCGCATCTGCAACGCTCGAGCTTAATGTTTGCGCGGCAAGATAAACTTTCATAATAGATTTTTTAAATTCAATATGGGGAGTACGGAGTTTATTGCCCAGACGAAGCCCTTCTTGTTGCTGGATTTCTGCTAATTTTTGTATATAAAGCCATTCAATGCGTCTACCACTACCATCAACAATAACTTTGTAATGTTCCAGGGCATTTCTAATGTTTTTCAAATCGTGACAAGCATCGATTATCACATTGACCGGTTTATTTGTAGTAGGATGAGGAAAGCTCGGTACGCAAGTTTCATTCATCTCGAGCGACGCCCCTAATTTTATTACTGTTGCCAAATGCTCTGCCGGACCATCTAATGTTAAAGCTACTACTTCTGTGCCCACTTCGTTCAGTCGCCGAAGAGCGTCGTTGATTATATGAACTTTAGCATCTGACTTGAGCCCCGCAATAAAAAAATAAGCTATTGGTAGCTTCCAGCTATCATTCAACGGTACTACCAGTAATACTAATGCGTCAGTTGCTTCACGCAAGTCATCAGAACTTTGACAACCACTCCCGCGATCGAGGTTCTCGCTACCAACATCCACGTATCCCCGTATGTTGCCATTACGTGATCTTTGGAAACCTTTTTTAATTCCCATTTCATCTAGCATCAATCCACAAATAAGACTTTTTTTTTGTTTTTTATATTCTTCACTTTTCAATTTAAGAGAATTAAAACTTTCTTGGGAAAAACCGGGCTCAGCATCAATGGTACTGTACCATTTGCGGATAGTGGAAGCCTCGGGAAGAGCACGACAGAAAGTATTACGCACGTAGTTGTATGCTATTGGCGAATAAAAATGCAGTGTCAAGGCAAAACATCTCAGGACTTGCGGAAATTGAGTTTTCGTTAGTGAGCCTGTATTTACATTCTTAGTCATGCGTTCAATCAATGCAGCCGGAATGTCCCCAAAATGGCCTGGTAAATACGCACCATTTTGAAGTTCAGGTACTTGACGAAGGTTTTCAATGATCTTCTTACAGCGTTCCAATTTTTGACAAGCCCGTGCATACTTCTGCTTTGTCAATTTGTTCAATTTGGCAATTTTGTTTTTTTTTTCTGGATTCGTTTTCCGTGAATCGGTGCCTGCTGTATAAGTATGATCGTTATTGATGCCGTGAAACATTTGATTCAGACCTGAAACATTTTTTTTTATATTAGTTAGATAGCTTCATCTTTGCCACTGGATATTGGAGACACCAATTAGACTTCTATCTCTTTATTTAATTCGATAAATACTTCGATCTAAAATTCCAGCAGGAATTTTGTTTTTATATTTCAAAAACTAAAGAATGCAAAACTATAGAATATTTGAACAAACTAGATTAGGTCAATGCTTGAAAGAATGAAATTCTGCATTATAATGAGCATACCTGCCGGTGTCAATTGTCTACAAATTGGTTGACTCGTTGATTCTGCTGAATGAGACTGAGTTGATTGCGTTGAATTCGATGATTTTTGAGCTGTAGTTGATGCTAACAATGTTGACGTTGGGTTAAGTGGAACGTTGTTCTTCGCAGTAAGAATAGATGGCTTCATTCCCTGTACTGTAAAGAAATGAATGTGATAATGTAATTATAGTATCTCCTCATTTACTATGAAGGAGGTCTAATGTCTAACCTCTGATCGAAGTGTTATCAGAACTTTCCCTGAGAGGAGATCTGTACAAAGGAAACTTGTCGGCCGTGATATCATCAGATAATTTTACTCCTGAAAACACATGCCAATCGAAGAATGGTTAAGAGGTGAATTGTTTGAACAAATACCTTATTAAAACAAAATTGTCAATGAAACTCACGTTTTTTGGGGTTACTGCTGATGTTTTCCATATGCATAGCCTCATTTTCCTTACTTCGTTCGAAGATCGTTGGAATACTACCTTTTTTCAACCGTGTTTTAGAACCGTTGAAGTTGGGTTTGAATTCAAAACATTCCTTTTCGAAATGTTCAGAACACAATCTGTCCCTTGACGAGGGTTTCCAACTTGGTTGATCAATGTTGCGAATCCATTGATTACGTATCGATTCATCGGTGGGAAATCTGTATGCACATTCATAGAATAGATATTGAGAAAATCTTAAAAATATCTTTCGAAAATAAACTAGACAAAAGCATACCACTCTCAATAATAACACTGCCTGTCGACACACAAGCAGCTCTCCATTTTTATCAAAAATTACAGAAGAATAAATTTTCGACTAAAAGTATATTAAATTGATATCAGAGAGAATAAACAGACATCACTTTTTACAAGATATTTGATTTTTCTGCGTAATTTAGAGTAAAAATAGAACTGGTCCAGCTAGTCTAGGTTGTTTCTTTTCTTCCTTTTGTTCAGCTTAAAGGTTATTATAAATCCATTATTATAGAAGAAATAAAAAATTGTACTTACCCGTGGAAAGATAAATGATCATATTTTTCTTTTCGTTTTTTGCAAAAACTGCAATGGGACATTTTTCACAATATAATCGACCACTCGTACAGAAAAATAACAACACTTTGGGGTTATGGCTGCCGTCAGATTTCTTCGATTAATGACCATCCCCGCCTTTCGTTTTTCAGTCACGCAAGCGCACTAACACTTCCAATAGTACGCTGGTGTTTTGATAGGGGCACTGATGTCGCTCCTATCCAGCACGCTTTCGTTCCGTATGGGCTATACGCTATGCCCTATCCAGTTATGTATAGAGATCAGTGTATAGATACCATGATAATGGTATGCTTGGCAACGCTGTGCACGTGGGGCGATAGCCAAGTAGATATATATATATAATATCGTCGCTTGCGTTTGCGCCCGCGCCGAGTTGCGTCTCGTTGGAGCTCGACGCGCTGCTCTGTGGGCGGGGTTGGAACTGCGACGGCCGGAGTCGCCACAAATATAAGCCGGGCAGCGCCACCCCTTAGATTAAGTATGTATCAAAAGGATGATAAATTAGCACTTACCACTTACCAGCAAAGGCGCAGGAAATGATGAGCAGATAAGTTCTTATCATTTCTACCATACCAACACTGTTTTACCAACTCTGCTCGTCAGCCATTTTTGGCCCCGTGCAGCCTTGTGAGGTGTAGACTTGTCTCGTGGAGAGTTGTGCGGTGCCATTTTTCACCACCGTGCTCAAGGCACTCCGTGTAGAGTTGTAAAAGGCACTGTGCATTTGGAAGAAATATAATTTTTTTATTAACTTTTCAAACTTTTTTCTTCATAAATATTTAGGTGGTAATTTGGTGGAATTTAGGAGAACATAATTATAATTTGGGAGTAATTAGTTGTTGTTTAATAGATTTTTCCTTTTTTACAATAATAATGAGC